ACTTGGATTCCTTTCTCTTTATTTTTATATATCTATTACTGGTTTCTGATTTGTGGTTACCATTATGTTTGTATATAATATCTTCTTTATATAAGTTGATGGTTGCTTAAGTTTGAACCCATTCTTTATTCCTCTCCCCCTGTGTTTTAGGTATAGGGGGTCATACTTTACATCTTTTTATTTTGTGAGACCATTGACTGATTTTTACAGATACTCTTCCTTATGGTCTCTTGTTTCCACTCAGAGTTCCCTTTAACATTTCTTGTAGGACTGGTTTAATGGTGATAAATTCCTTTAACTTTTGTTTGTCTGGGAAACTCTTTCTCTCTTCTCCTTTTCTGAATGATAGAAACTTGTTTCTCGAGCCTTGTTTGTAACTATTTTCTTTTCTCTTGCTGCATTTAAAATTCTCTATCACTACTTTTGCCATTTTAATTACTATATGTTTTGGTGTGTACCTCCTTGGGTTGATTTTGTTGGCAGATCTCTATGCCTCCTGGATCTGGATTTCTGTTTCCTTTCCTAGATTCAGGAAGCTTTCAGCTATTATTTGTTCAAGTAAATTTTCTGCTCCCATATCTCTCTCTTCTCCTTCTGGGATTCCTATAATATGAATGTTATTCTGCTTGAGAGTGTTGCAGAGTTCCCTGAATCTATTTTCATTTTGTATTTTTTTTTCTCTCACCTGTATGGCTTGATTCTTTCCATTACTCTTTCCTCCAGGTCACAAATCCATTCTTCTTCTTGTAGTCTACTACTTATTCCATCAAGTGTATTTTTAATTTCAGTGAAATTCTTAATCTCTGATTCTTCTTTCTGTTTTCTATCTCTTTGTTAAGGGTCTTACTGAGGTCCTCCACTCATTTCTCTGGTCCAGCAAATATCTTTGTGACCGTTATTTAAATTCTCTCTCAGGTACATTACTTACCTCTGTTTCATTTGGCTCTCTTTCTCTGATTTTGTCTTGTTCTTTCATTTGGGACATATTCTTCTGTCTCCTCATTTTGTCCGAACTCTGCATCTGTTTCTATGTGTTAGGAAAGTCAGCTACATCTCCTGCTCTTGAAAGCGGTGGCTTTACGAAGAAGAGTTCCTTTAGTGTCCTGCAGTGCAGCGTTCTCCAGAACCTGGTGCGTCGGGGGCGTCTTCTGTGTGTGTTGTGTTCACCTTGCTATTGTGGCAGAGCCACCTTTTCCTTTAGTCCAGTTGTCTGCAATGGCTCTCTTTATCTCTTGTGGGTAGTATTTGGTCCCTGTGTTGTTAGTGGGCCAGTTTGGAGCCATCTTGGGGTTGAGTGGAGTCAGACAGGCATTTGCCAGAGAGGCAGAATCACCAAACTGCGGGGCACTTTCCCTGTGTTGTCTCCTTAGAAGCTTTTGTTGGTGGGCAGTGCCTGCAGTTAGATCAGCAGTCTGCCCCTAGCCCACTGCTGGGGCTGCATTTGGACTGGTTTATGTGGTTTGTCTTTCCTTCTCCCTGAGGCAAGAGTCACTTTGGAGTGGTGCTGGCCCCTGTTGGGGCTGCTTACACACTGGGAGTCTTATTGTACCTTTTTGGATGGGCTCTGACAGAGAGCTTATTGGAGGGGGTGGACCCACAAAATCTGCGGGAGCAGGAGGTGTGTTGTTAGCAAGTTAGGTAGCAAGTGTCTGCATCCCACTGGTTCCTCCACATGGCCATGTGTTTAGACTGGGGCGTGGATAGGGTGTGAAATGGCACCTGCCAGCCAGCTCCTTTGTTTCTAGAGAAGTCTCCCAAGGATCCCTGCACCTCTAGCACATGCTCTGAGATGAATAAACAAATCTTCCTCCCCTATTCTCCAGGTGTTTTTCCAACTGCTGCTTCTATGGTGTATCTCTGCAGGCTGTTTTTTTGTGCCGTCTCTTTAAGTGAGGACTGTTTCCTCTCATCCTCCTGGCCGAGCCCACTGATTTTTAAAGTTCTAGGTTTTAAGTTCCACTGGTTGTAACAACTTACGAAATTTAACCCCTTTGGTTTTCAAAGCCAAATGTTATAGGGATTTGTCTTCCCCAGCAGGCTTCCCCTCAGGGTGATAGTATGTTTCTCTCCTCTCTCTATCCACGTGGAGTTCCTCCCTCCCAGGGAGGGTCCTGCAGGTCTGTTTAGCTCCCCACTGCATCTCTGCCCTTCCTACCCTCTTCATTGTGGCCTCTTCTCTTTATTTAGCTATGAGTTTGTTCTGCCAGTCTTTGGGTCATTTTCTGAATTATTTACACAAATGTGAGTGTTATCTAGTTGTATCTGTGGGATGAGGTGAGTTTAGGGTCCTTCTGCTCCACCATCTTCCTTAGAATGTACCTTGATCTGTGTTTCATATCTAGTATCATTAGTCTTTTATTGTGTATCTAGAAGAGAAGTGTATAACTTATTATCAAACTGTTGAGATGATGTAGCAAAAATGCCTTCTGTTGGTTTGTCTGTTACCACAGTTCTTTTAATATTTCCTGCTAGATACTGCTTTCCCATCTTCCAGATATTGTTCAGTAACCACATATTGAGTGCTTCTTTTGGCTTTCCTTTCTGCTTGGTGCTATGGGAAATTAGAAGACTGTGAGATGGACTCTGCCCACAACAGACTCAAGGAGTCCAGGATCTCTCCAGGTCAACCCTACCATACCTATACCTGTACCTTATTTTATCTCAACTATAGCTTATACATTACCACCTCCATGCCTTTGTTCAAGTCAGGAGCCAAAAAGCAAGGGAAAGAACATAAAATATGGAACCAGAAAGTGTGTGTTTCAAGGGCAAATATGTCCATTTTCATGTGTAAAATACCAATTGCAATACCCATTTCACATGATTATTGTGAGAACTGAGAGCAATGATAGGTCATGGTGTCTGGCACCTCCTTGGTGCTTAATATGTATTTTTCCCTTCTTCAACTCCTTCACAGATCTTTAATTTCTGGTTCAAGTCCTTCTTCCTGTGCAGATCTATCTCAGATGACTGGTGATCTTGACCAAAGTAATTGTTCCCTCTTAAACAATCATTATTCACTGACTATATTAGTATTTCTCAATCATTTGCATCCTATGACATTAATAGATCTTCTGAGAAAAAGGATCTTTGTGAACAAAGAAGTTTGGAGATTACTATATTTTAAAGTCTTCTCAGAGATTTTAATGCACATGTTCTGAGAAGTCTTGTGGTAAAGAAACCTGGTTAACTTTGTTTAACCAAACATTTTTTTTAGCAATCGTGAAAACCCTCCACTGCCTCCTGTTTCCCCCTCCCCAGAAAACTTCTTGTAACACACTGGGCTCTTTTGTTTATGCCATTCATTTGAGTTCATACAGTGTTTTTGACATTATTTATATTTATTTAATGTTTTATGTATTTATACCTTCAGTCTTCATTTAGAAATTAAGTTCCTTTAGGGCAGAGTCCAGTGTATATACCTTATTACATCTATGGCCTTGAATTTAGTAGATATAAGTTCTTCAAATAGGAGGACTGTGACTTAAAGAATGGATAGATTCTGGTTATCTAATTTTTTCTAAATTCCTTTTATCTTTCTGAGCAAATTATATTTTACATTACTAATAAATATATCTTCTTAAGCTTTGTATGCTACATATAGAGAAGATAAATGGTGGCAGGTGGAAAGGAAGGGGAGAATAAAATGGTTTTCATTTCTCTTATTCAAATCAAATCAGAATACCAGAGAGCTTACAGATTACAGTGCATTGTGTCAGAATGGTGTGTCAATGGAAGATGGATTTGATTTTTAGAAATAGCCAAAAGTCATTGAAACCCATTCTATTATTTAAGGTCAAGCAAATTAACAGGGTTTTTTTTTTTAAAGATTTTATTTATTTATTTGAGAGAGAGCACACGCACGCATGTGCACAAGTAGGGGAAAGGGCAGAGGGAGAGAATATCCAAGCAGACTCCACTGAACACAGAGCCCAATTCAGGGCTTGATCTCAAGACCCGTGAGATCAGAACCTGAGCCAAAACCAAGAGTTGGACACATAACCACCTGAGCCACCCAGGTGCCTGGCACATTAACAGTTTTTAATGGTAAAAAAAAAAAAATATTCAGTGTCTTCAAAGTATTGAGACTTTTTTGAATGGTTTATAAATGGTTTTTGAAAGCAATTTCAAAAGAGGAAGTCTAATAATATCTTGAGCATTGGAAAATTATAAGAACAGGTATATATAACCTGTTAAGATGATGTCTTTGAAAAGTAATAATCATTTAGAAGTACAAGTTTTGTGTTATGTGTTTAAATTAACCATAATGCAGAACCATTGATTTATAGCTAAGGCCCATAATATTTACATAGAGCTGTGTCTTTATTTTTCTTCTTTTTCCCCTCTGATCTTCTTTCCTTTGGCCTTTTCACTTCATAGTTACATCGTGATACAGAGGTGGGGAATAAAAAGAAGGTGAAACTACACCAATTTTATTCTTGATTAATGATTTTTATAAAGTTCAATAGTGATTTTTAAATATAATTAATTTATTTAGTTAGTTTTAAGTAGGCTGTGCACCCAGCACAATGCAGGGCTTGAACTCATGACCCTGAGATGAAGACATGAACTGAGATCAAGAGTTGGATGCTTAACCGACTGAGCCACCCAGGCACCCTAGTAGTGATTTTAGGCAAGGGATAATTTTACAGTCATTAACTGCAGTGGAGTTTTGAGATGAGCTACTAATTTAACTATTCATGCCACTCTATCTCTTCTCTTTGCACAAATAATTTAAACTTAGCTGAATAGATAATTGGCATCTATAATTATGACGCAGCCAATTTTACTCTTGGTCCTCTGTGAATGTTTAGCCATGTATTCAGAGTCATTAGTAATTTGGTGTAGGAGATTAGTAGAGTATTTTTATTTATGGAAGGGGAAGAAAATTGATAAAACTTGTTAGTGGTAATTTACCTAGATGATAAACTAGAAAACTATGAAGTTTTAATTTTAATTTTGGCATATGCTGTAAAGACGGAATTTCTGTTTCTACACAGGAACTAAGCACAGACAGAGACTCTCCTGAAATTAGCTTTCTCTCAGGTACTACTACTAAAGTATCTGATGTGGTGGTTGTAAAGGAGAAACCATTACTAGAGCCAGAGAAGATCTTAGCAGTACCAAACAACTTTTCTGAGTCTGGAAAGGAAGCCACATTGACCATGAATTCTGAAGAAACCAAGGATGAAGAAAGTTCTCTTAAAACTTTTGTGTCTGCCTTAGAAAGGTTACTCACATCACCAGAAATCACTCAGGAGGAAAGACTGTTGGAAATAATGAGTGATTTTGAACCTAAAGAGTTGGCCAACCCATTGAGCAATTCTCCAAGTTCCATATCAGTATCTTTGACATGTCACAAAGATTTACTAGAAAACACAAAGGATGATGCATTGCCAACTGAGTTGTTAGCAGTCCTAAACACATTATCAGAGGGCAACGTGGGACCCGTTTGTCATGGAGAGGAGGGAGGCAGCAGTCTCAGGGCTGGAAATGAATATTCTGGAGTGGAGCCCAAGAAGTCTCAGACCACTGAAGATTGTACACAAATAGCAGAGGTGAATTTTGAGTCTCTTTGTTCTGCTCCACTCTTTGAACAAGATTCCAAGTTAGGGGAGCTGCAGGACAAGCATCTTTCACTGCAGCGTGTAAGTGCAAGTGTGAGCCTATGATTTTGCCTTTTATAGTGACCTTTACCAAGTCTTCATTGCCCATATACTTTATTTTAAATTCAGATCCTCTTGGGGCACCTGGGTGGCTCAGTTGTTAAGCGTCTGCCTTCGACTCAGGTCATGATCCCAGGGTCCTGGGATAGAGCCCCACATTGGGCTCCCTGCTCCACGGGAGGCCTGCTTCTCCCTCTCCCCTTCCCCCTGCTTGTGTTCCCTCTCCCACTGTCTCTCTCTCTGTGTCAAATAAATAAATAAAATCTTTAAATTAAAAAAAAAATTCAAATCCTCTTCCCAAATATCAACACTCAGAAGATGCTTTTTGAATTTGAAGCATAAACTGATCTTTCTAGAGATTCCAGGGGTAGAGTTTTCAAGGGATTTAAGTGTTGAAGTAGGTAAGTTTCTCATCAAAGACCTGAAACTTATTATTAGATTGCTTGTATATAGGAAGGAAATAATTATCTACCAGATTTTTTCCTGTTAGCTCAGAAAATCACTATGCCTACCTGGGTGCAGAGTAGAGAGGTAGATATCCCACATTAATTTCTAGTTGAGGATAGAATATATGCGGTTGGGCTGCCAGGAGAGGGAAAAAGTTATGCCTGGCTTCAGCAGAACTTTGCAATCAATGTCTGAGGCTACTATCAAGTAGCACAGTTCCTGGGGTTTGGAATTCCTGCAGTATTATGCCTGGAGACCGTGCAGTGGGCTACCACTAGCCAAGTCTCTTTTTTACGTTAACAGGTTTTTTTTCCTTTTTAAAGGAATCTTATTTTTTTTCCTGATTACAATAGTAATACACCCTCATTATAAAAAAAAATCAAACATTACAGCAATACACATAATAATATAATAAAAAAAGTCCCTCACAATTCCACATTTCAGAGATAATCACCATTAACAATTTGGTGTATCTGTCTCCAGTTTTTTCTATGCATATTCTATGTAAGTTTATTTTATATAAATGAGACTATATTATACATAATGCTTTGCAACTTTTTAAAATATTTTTTATGAAAGTATAGTTGACATTTTGCAACTTGTTTTTTAAATTTAATAATACATCTTGGTTATCTTTGTCAGTGAATGTAGCATACTAAAATCTTTTTACTTGCTAAATACTATTCGACTATATGGGTATTTTGTGTGTGTGTGCGTGTGTGTGTGTACATATATTATATAAATATAATTTACTTAACTAATTCACTAATGATGGTCATTTCAATTATTTTCTTTCTTTTGGCTATTACCAGGCAACTTTTATGAACATCCCTGGGACAATTTGAATAACACATTACTAAGCACATGTTGCAAAATACATACCTGGCATAATACTGCATGCAATTCTCATAGAAAACATCTCAAAACAGACATAATAAAATTTAAAAAATCCAGAAAAAGAAAAACTAATCATGGGGATAGGGTATGAAGATTAAATTAAACATTCCAGTATTCTAATCTGAAAAGAGGTAATATAAGTAAAATGTAGGAGATTATAATTGGTTGGTATTAATAGAGTGAGCATGAATTTAGCAAGTGTTCAAAAAAAAGAGAGGTAAGGTAAAAAGTAAAAAAGAGATGGATTTAGAACAAATTAAATACCCTTTTACTCAGCCATAATAAAAATATGGAACTTGTTATGCTAAAAAGCTTTGCAAGCTGGATATATAAATAAGCTCAAGAAAGGTTTACATGATATGTGTAAAAACATATATCTTCATGAAAGTTAAATCTATAATGGATTATTAAGGGGAAGTTAGAGCCATTCATGATATACTGGTAACCTTTTAAAATCAGTGTAATAGAAGTTATGTACAACCTTGTCTCACAAAATATTACTCCCTGCTGTCAAACAACAAACACTGGGCTGAACAGAGCATTGATCTGGTCTAGTATGACGTTTCTACTGTTTTTGTATGTCATTTTTTGCTGCCTATTTCCTGTGAAGTTAAAGCATCCAGAGTAACCTTAGTTTTGCCCTTGAATTTTAAGGATGAATATTGATAAGAATAATTTTTACTTACGCTCTTCTCGTCTGAGGCTTTTAATTATATTATTATATTTTATTTTATTATATTATTATTATATTATTACATTTTTATTATGTGGCCTGTGGGTTTTTGTACTTTCATCTTATAAGAGGCATTTTTGTATAATCAAAGGACAAGATAAAACTTAATTTCTTCTCATTTTAAATCTTTTGCATTGTTATAATTATTTGTGTATTTACATCTTATTACAGACTCTAGAAGATCCAAATCTATCTGGGCTGCAAACTTTGGTTCATCAAAGTGTCACCTCTTGTGATCCACTAAATAATAAGGGTAATTCAAATTCGGTGGAAAATAAGTCTGACGAGGACCCTCCATGTGTGTTAAGGAGATCGTCCAGACTGAGAGCAGGCAGAAATGAAAAGCACACAGATGACAAGTATAAGATGCCAAAAAAGATTTTACCAAAGATACTTGTCAGTGAGAATCAAACAAATAATAACTCTTCAACTAAGAATTTCAGGTATACTCCCAAATTATATCTCTCTCTCTAGATATGCTACAGACTTTATAGATAATTCTATGCTTGGGACACTAGAGTCAATATACAGTTACCCCTAAGTGAAGAACTTTATTTTTTAGTGTTGTTGCCTTATTTACTGTACAGTTATTTTTTTTTAACCCAGAAAATTCTTCTACTTTTTTTTTAAAAAAGACAGAGTAAAGGGAGATTTGTTGGATTTCAGCCTAATGCTAATTTCCATTCTTTCTTTTTTAAATTAAGTTAGTTAGCATCCATCATCACACATTTACAGAATTTTCTTTTCTTGTCATGAGAATTTCTAAGATTTACTCTCTCAACAATTTTCAACTGTGCAATATGGTATTGTTAACTACAGTTACCGTGCTGTATATTCCATCCCCGGACTTATTTATCTTATAAATGGAAGTCTGTACTTTTTGATCACTTTTACCCATTTCACCCACTCCCCACCCCCCTGCTTCTGGAAACCACAAGTCTGTTCTCTGTATCCATGAGTTTGGGTTTTTTGTTTGTTTGTTTGTTTTTTTGATTCCACATATAAGTGAGATCATACAGTATTTGTCTTTCTCTGTCTGACTTATTTCACTTAGCATAATGCCCTTTAGGTCCTTTCACATTGTCACAGATAGCAGGATTTCCTTTTCTATGGCTATTCTGAATAATACTCCATTGTGTGTGTATGTATGTATATGTGTGTGTGTGTGTATGTGTGTGTGTGTATATATATACACCAATTTTCCTTATCCATTTATCCATCAATGGATACTTAAGTTGTTTCCATGTCTTGGCTATTGTAAATAAAGCTGCAGTGGACACGGGTGCAGATTTTTTTCAAGATAGTAATTTTATTTCCTTTGGATAAATATCCAGAAGTGGAAATACTGTATCATATGGTAGTTCTATTTTTGATTTTGTGAGGACCCTTTCTTTATACTGTTTTCCATAGTGCCCTCACCAGTTTACATTCTCACCAGCAATGCACAGGGGTTCCTTTTTCTTCACATCCTCAGCAACACTTGTTATTTCTTGTCTTTTTAATGATACCCATTATAACATGTATGAGGTGATATCTTACTGTGGTTTTTATTTGCATTTTCCTGCTGGTTAGTGATGTTCAGCACCTTTTCCTGTACCTATTGGCCATTTGGATGTCTTCTTTGGAAAAATATCTTTTCAGTTCCTCTTCCATTTTTTAATTGGATTGTTTGCTCATTTGTTATTGAGTTGTATGGGTTCCTTATATATTTTGAATATTAACCCCTTATTAGATATATGATTTGCAAATATTTTCTCCCATTCAGTAGGTTGCCTTTTTATTTTGTTGATGGTGTCCTTTTCTGTGCAGAAACTTTTTAGTTTGATATAGCTCTAGTTGTTCATTTTTGCTTTTGTTGCCTTTGCTTCTGGTGCCAAATCCAAAAAATCATTGCCCAGACCAGTGTCAAGGTGCTTACCCCCTGTGTTTTTTCCTATGAGTTTTATGGTTTCAGGTCTTACAATGAAGTCTTTAATCCATTTTGAATTGATTTTTTGTGTATGATGTAAGATCGATGCTCAGTCTAATTGTTTTACATGTGGCTATCCAGTTTCCCAAACATCATTTATTGAAAAGATTGTCCTTTCCCCATTGTATATTTTTGGTTCCTTTATTGTAAGTTAATTGACCATATATACATTGGTTTATTTCCTAGCTCTACAGTATTCCATTCAGCTATGTGTCTGTTTTTATTCTTTATTCCACTATTTTGCAGTTTTTGATCAGTGTAATCCCACATGGCAAGTCCTGTTTTCTTGCAAAGAGCCTATCTTTTTCCCTAGAAGGTGATTAGATAATGGCATGCCAGCTTAGGGAGTGAGGGGCAAGAGACTCAGAATACTTGTAGATGACTGCTTCTAAAGGAGAGAAACCCACAGGTGGCACAAAGAAAAGGCTAGAAGCCACAAAAACTGGCATGCCTGTCACAGAATTATCTGCAGTTTACTCAGGAGCCATCTCCATATTTTAAACTGCCATGCTCTTTGGGTCCCTGGGTGGCTCAGTTGGTTAAGCGTCTGTCTTTGGCTCAGGTCATGATCCCCAAGTTCCTGGGATTGAGTCCCACATCTGGCTCTCTGCCCAGTGGGGAGTGTGCTTCTCCCTCTTCCTCTTCCTCAGTACTCAGTACTCTCAAATAAATAAATAAAATCTTAAAAAAAAAAAAATAAACTGCCATGCTCTTTGATAGCAGCTCAGTAAAATACCTTTCAGTTTTAAAAATTGAGTAAAAATTTAGTATGATTCTCTATGAATTGTTGTAGAGAACATGATAGTAATTTTAAGAACACATTTATGTTTCAAGAATGCAGGATCCTGCTTTAATGATTAAAGGTAAAGGGAAGAATATGCATTCAGCCAGACTCAAAAGTGGAGAACAGATGCAGAGAAACAAAAAATTTGCTGGAAAAAATGGTGAGACATATTTGATTTATTTATTTTTTTAACCAAGTAACTTATAGAAACATAGAATACTGGTACTGAAAAGGATTTAGAGATTATCTATCTCAACTTTCTCATTTTACTGATGAGGAACCTCGTTCATAAAGGTTAAGGTTTTTTCCCAGCATTGCACAGCTTATTAGTAGCATAACTAGGACTTGATCATGAACTTCTGGCTTATAGGCTGGTATTTTTTCTATACTTCTATTTGGAGAGAATAGTTACAGAACCCTTTTCAAATTTAGATATGTGATCTATTTGTGGTGTGGCAAATCTAGCATAAGGCTAGGTGTTGGATGTTATTTCTTTGTTCCTATAAAACCCCAAAGAATAACCTAAGAAACTATGAGAAACCGTAAGAATCTAGAAAGACTGGTTAAAATATAATAGGGGTACAACTGGCAAAATTAAAATATGGATTGTAGGTTAAGTAATAATACATCATTGTTAAATTTCCTGAACTTAATAATAATTTAGTTATTTAAGAGAATGTCCTTGTTTTTAGAAAATACACACATAAGCATTAGTGAGTAATGGGACATGGTGTATGTAAGTTATTTATATATATGTGTGCATGCATGTGTTTATATAAAAAGGGAGATAGAATGATGTAAACAGGTGGCAAAATACTAACAATGGGTGAATCTTTTGTTCTGTCTTTATAACTTTTTTTAAGTCTGAGGTTTTTTTCCAGGTAAGACATTTAAAAAATTCAGTGAACTGAAACAAGACAAAAATAAATACCTTTCATATGTATAAGTATTACCCAGTTAGAAAAATAGAGGAGAAAGTCCCATTTATAATAACTATAAAAAAGAAAATACCTGCTTGTATACCTAATAAGAAATGTGCCTTACCTGTAAGAAGACGGTTGAAAATTCTGCTGAGGGACTTAACAAAAAAAGAGACTTGAATAAAAAGAACTTTACTCTTGACCATAAGTGTTCAGTCTTCTTTTTTTTTTTTTAAAGGTTTTATTTATTTATTTGAGAGAGAGAATGAGATAGAGAGAGCATGAGAGGGGGGAGGATCAGAGGGAGAAGCAGACCCCCCGCTGAGCAGGGAGCCTGATGCGGGACTCGATCCCGGGACTCCAGGATCACGACCTGAGCCGAAGGCAGTCGCTTAACCAACTGAGCCACCCAGGCGCCCAAGTGTTCAGTCTTGTAAGAAATTTATTGCTCCCTAAATTACTCTATAAATATGTGAGAGCTCAATCAAAAACAGATTTTTGTTTATTTGCTAATTTGTTTTGCTTTATAAAGCTGGAGATTAGTTAGAATGTTATAAAATGATACTAAATATGAAGGACTAGCCTAGAAAATTCTGAAAAATAAAAGCACAGGGAGAGTGGAGAGACAAGAATCTGCTGTACATAATATAAAAGCAATTAGAAGGCCATAGAAATTAAAATAATTTGGTACAGGCAAGGAATAGACAGATAAATTGTTGAAACAGAATAGAGTTTAAATGTAGAAGCCTGATACAGTGTGAATTTTGGGGAAGGTATATAATAAAGATGGCATCTCAAATTGGTGGCAAAAAGAAGGACCAAGCAATAAACAGTAAAAACATAAACAAAATTGGGTGGATACCTATAACATTGCTTATACTAAATTTAATTCCATTTTGTCCAAAGATTAAATGAAAAAAAAAATTCTAGAAGAAAACATAAGTGAATCTTTTTGTAATCTCTGAAGAGGAAAAACCTTCTTAAAAAATGACAAACCCAGAAGCCAGGAGGGAAAAGAATGATAAAATTGACTACATATATTTTAAAAAGATTGTATGGAAAAATACCCTAAAGAAAACCAAACATTGAGCACAGAAGAAATATCAATAACACATAACAGGGGTTAATTGCATTAACATGCATGCAAAGAGCTCCTACAAAACAATAAGGATAAAGAAAAATGAGTAGGGAACATGAACAAGCAGTTCACAGGAAAAAAATATATACATATATATATATATATAAATAACTGGGACGCCTAGTTGGCTCAGTCAGTTAAGCATCTGACTCTTAGTTTTGCCTCAGGTCATGATCTCAGGGTCTTGAGATCCAGCCCTGCATCAGGCTCCTTGCTCACCTTGAGATTCTCTGCCTCTCCCTTTTCCTCTCCCTCTACCCCTCCCCCTGCTTGCACTCTTTCTCTCTCTCTCTCTCTCAAATAAATAAATAAATAAAATCTTTTTAAAAATAATTGAAAGGATTAACATCTCACTTACGATTTAAAAAAATATAAATTAAGAAGTACAGTTTTCACTAAGAGAATGTCAAATGTTTAAATACTTGAGAATTCCCAGTGGCAAGAATATGGAAAAAGTAAGCATTCTCTTATGTTGTTGGTAATAGTGTAAGTTTGTTCAGTCTTTTTTTTTTTTTTTTTTAAGATTTTATTTATTTATTCGACGTAGAGAGAGCAGGGGGAGGACCAGAGGGAGAGGGACAAGCAGACTCTGCAGTGAGCACCGAGCCCGACGCAGGGCTCAATCTCAGGACCCTAGGATCATGACCTGAGTTGAAACCACGACTGGGACACTTAACTGACTGAGCCACCCAAGCGCCCCTGTTCAGTCTTTTCACAGGGCAGTTTATTTACATTCTTCAGACTTTTAAGTCACAATTCTTGAATTGGCAATTCTACTTAAAGGGATTTATTCTAGGTGTATCAGGGTGGCTCAGTTGTTTGAGTGTCTGACTCTTGATTCGGCCCAAACTTCTAGGCCCAAAGCCTTTTGGATTAGTCTTCTCAGGCTACCATAACTAAATACCACAAACTGGATTGCTTAAATGGCACATTTATTTTCTCACAGTTCTGGAAGCTAGAAGTCCAAGATGAAGGTAATAGAAAATTCGATTTCTGGCAAGACCTCTACCTGGCTTGCAGACAGCCGCCTTCTCTAAGTGTCTTTCCTGCATAAGTGGAAAACTGTAAAGTCTCTTACTTTTTTTTTGTAAGGACACAAATCCTACTCTATTATGGCTTTAACATACAAATTTTGAGGGGATGGGATTCAGTTCATAACACCTTCAGTGGTGAATTCTACAGACATTTAAGGAATAAATAATACCAGTTTTCCACAAACTCTTCCAAAAAGTTGAAGAGGGAATACTTCTCAATTCATTCTGTGAAGCTACTAATAAACTGAAAACAAAATCAAAGACATCACAGGAACAGAAACCTACAGATGAATATGTCTCATGAACATAGATACAAAAATATAAACAAAACTTCAGCAAATCAATTTCAACATTGTATAATACATCATGACAGAGTAGGGTTTATCCCAGGAATGCAGGATTAGTTTTACCATTTGAAAATCAATCACTATAATTCACTAACTAACAAGCTAAAAAAGAAAACCATATTACCATCTCAAGGGATGTCAAGAAGGCATTTGACAGCACCTCACATGTCTTACTGGTGAAACTCCCAGCAAACTAAGAATAGAGGGGAACTTTGTCAACCTGACAGAGAGCATCTACAAAAAAATATACAGCTATTATACTTAATGTAGTGAAAGATTGAATGCTTTTCCCCTAAAATCAGAAATAATGCAGGGGATGTCTGCTCTCACTATTTCTGTTGAACATCATAGTAGAGGTTCTAGCCAGTGCAGTCAGAAAGAAAAACAAATAAAAAGTATCCATGTGGGAAAAAAAGAAGTAAAACTGTGTTTAGTCACAAATGACGTAATCATCTATTAGAAAATCTGATGGAATGTATAGTAAAAGCAACTATATGTAAGTGAATTTTGCACAATTAAAGGATACAAGATCAATATACAAATACTAATTATATTTCTATATTCTAGTAACATTTAGACAGTGAAATTTGATACCATAGTATCAAAAATATGAAATAGAGATAGATTTGACAAACTATGTAAAAGACAGGTACACTGAAACTTACAAAACATTATTCAGAAAAATCAAAGAAAATTTAATGGAGAAAAATGGGGAGATATTACTTTGTTCATCAGTCAGAATACTTAATATTGTTTTTTGGGGGCTTTTTTGTTTTTTTAGAAAGACAGAGAGAGAGAGAGAATTCCAAGCAAGCTCCACACACTGAGCAGAGCCCAATACAGGGCTTGATCTCACAACCCTGAGATCATGACCTGAGCCAAAATCAAGTCGGACATTTAACCGACTGAGCCACCCAGATGCCCCAGAAGATTAAATATTGTTAAGATGTTATTTCTACTCAGATATTATCTATGAACTCTACACAATCCCAATCAAAATTCCTATAGGGTTTTTTGTAGAAATTCACAAACTGGTTCTAAAATTCATATGGAATGCACAGGACCTAGAATGGTAAACAGTTTTGAAAAAGAACAAAGTTAGAGGGCTAACACTGCCTTATTTTAAGAATTATATGATAGGATGGGGTGCCTGGGTGGCTCAGTCAGTTAAACATCTGACTCCTGATTTCGGCTCAGGTCATGATCTTGGGGTCCTGGAATCAAGCCCCACGTTGGGCTCTGTGCTCAGTGTGGAGTCTCCTTGTCCCTCTCCCTCTACTCCTTTCCTGGCTCTCTCTCTCTCTCATTCTCAAATAAATAAATAAATAAATAAATAAAATCTTAAAGAAAAATATGGCAGGGCACCTGGGTGGCTCAGTAGGTTATGCATCCGACTCTTGATTTCAGTTCAGGTCATGCATAATCTCAGGGTTGTGAGATGACTGTGTTGGCTATGGAGCCTGCTTGGGATTCTCTCTCTCCCTCTCCCCCCTGCCCCTTCTCCCCTTCCCCACTCACATACGCACACTCTCTCTCTTTCTCTCTCAAAACAAAACAAAAAAATGATATGGCTCTAGTCATCAAAATAGCATGACATTTCCATCAAGATAGGGAAATAGATCAATGTAGTGAGTTCAGAAATAAACCCTGAGTTTTGACAAAGGCATAAGGCTTGTAGAGAAGAGCAATTAGAAATCCACATGCAACAAAATGTTATTGAATGTATATTTTAAAAATACTGAATTTTGTTTTGGCCTACAAGTTACTTGAAGATCAGATTGATCCTTTCAAAACTTTTTTAAAAACCTTATTAGGCAGGCTTGATGTAGGCTTTACTATATAGCTAGTTTAGCCCCTTCTACTAAGACATGACCTGTCAAGGGTCTCTACTAATGCTCCGGTTGTTAGCAAGGTCTCTCTCCTCAGGCTGTCAGGAATGTAAATGTTTCCCAGGCCTGCATGATCTCTCAGGATTGTTATTTTATAGTTCTTGGGTAGTTGTTCTTGCCCAGCCTCAGGAAGACTCAACCTACATATGAGCACTTTAGTATTTAGATAGTGACTCAAGGAGTCCCTTTTATAGATTTCGGTACCTGTTCTCTCTTCCCTCATCGTACCCTACTGTGCAAAAGCTAATCTCCCTAGCCTCCTGAAACTTGAATCTCTATTTCCTCAGCTCAGCAGGATCACCTTGCTATGCTTTTGCTATATTCTGGAAAGTGCCTTCAGGCAAGAGTGATCTTAGGGCTCACTCTCTTGTTTCTCTTCTCTGGAAGGAGTCATAGATCTGAATTGCCTGTTTTCCAGTGTCTAAATTTTTTTACCCCGTATATTTTGTGTAGTTTTTTTAGTTGTTTGCAATGGAAGGGCAAGTCATGGCAATTATTTAGTCATGATTGGAAGTGAATGGCTTCTACATCTTAGTTTTCATTGAAAAATTTTGTATTCTTAATTTGTTATTTCTAATAAATTATATAACTAGCAAGTACAACTGGCAAAGACAGAGCTTGGAGTAAAAACTACTTTTTTTGGGGGGGGTAAGCATACAGTTTATCTGGTAGGAGCAGAATGCTTTGTAGTCTTGAGTGGGGGAAGATAGGTTCAAATGTTCAGAAGTTGGTTTGTTTTACAGTGGAACTGAATGGAGGGAATCTAATAAAGGCAAAGCAGATAAATGGTGATCCATTAAAAAATGTGCTGCTGTACTCAGTTACTTTTATGAGATTTTAGGATGGGGCAGATTAGCTAGATCAAAATTGGAAAAGCTATAGTCATAGTTATTCTGAAATTCAGGAAAACCACATGAACTAGTATCCATAAAAATTGACAGAATTTAGAGTATCTAAATAAGGAATGTCAGTATTTTAGGAGACACAGTGGAGAAATGATACCTGATATGTATAAGCTGGGAATCTATTTTAATTGTCTATTTTCTGGCTTAGGAAAGAAAACTATTGTACAGATCAAGACCATATGTCTTTATTTAATTTTGTGACAGCTGTTTGTAGCAAAGAAAGAAATTTAGCATTCTCTTTTCTGGCCTCACTGGGTTAATTTCTGTATCTTCCTTATATACTTCTGAGATTTTTCTCCTCATGGTGTTAAAACACATTTTGGTACTATAGTATTTTGTTGGGTTTAATAACACCTAATTCTAGATTTAAATAATCCTTTTCACCAGAACTTTTAAGAAAGTAATCTGTTAGTCTTCTCATGTATTCACTTTCATGGGGTTTCAATAAACATAAACTGCTTACATAATTTATAATGTACTGCAAGTATTTTCAAACTAATGATATTTTTCTTTTACCTTTTTGCATGTAGATAACATTATTGTTGGGTTTATGGATGAAATACTCTTTCATAAAATAATTCCAGAATGTTGACTGGATTTACTCTATTACCTGTATTCTTCCTGATTTTTAAATAAGGATTATTACTTTTTGTTTTCTTTTGTTCATCCCCTTGTTTCAGAAAAAATGAAGAGGAATAAAGTATCTCTGTCTAGCATTAACCGTAGAAACATTTTTGGAGAGAACTTACTGTATCAGGCTGCTCTGCATAATGACATTGATCTTGTTCATCATTATATAATGAAAGGGGGAAATGTTAATCAGCCAAGTTATGCTGGTAAGTTGGGGTTAACCCACAATTATCTTGGGAGTGGTTTGTAGTTTCTGCTTAGTAACTCCTATGAAAGTATGACAAAGTGGGTATAAGGCAAGTCTCAAACAGAAAGCTTCCAGGTAATTTTTCTGCTTAGGTAGCTGATCACCATCATCTCCCAGGGAAGTGGTAAGGTCGGGAGGCAGGGGCAGGAGAAGAGCATTCTATTGCACCTTCAAAGATTTTGCCTGCCCAGGGCCCACCAGGTGGCCCACAGGATATGGTTCCTGTGGCTGACTTGCTGGGTTTGTATGGGCATTGTTACTGTGAGACTCAACTTTGAATGGAAGAGAAGTGAGCTCAAAAGCTGAAAGAAGCTGATGGTATGCTGAGCTATGGGGGAAACTGAGATAACATGGTAGATGTACAGTAGATGTACAGCAGGGGCAATGGCCAGGGATATGGAGAGAAGAGAGTATAAGGTAGAGATGGTGGGGCAGGGAACTCAGACCATTCTTTCTGCAAGGCTGGATCTCTAATACAGTCTTTTTTGTGGAGAGAAGCTGATGTTCTTCTGGACAAGAATGATTCCTTAAGGACACTTAAGTACGTAAGGCACTTAGCAGCACTGGGCCAGTCTGGGTAGTGCTTTTGAGTGTCCATACTTTTTCTAGTGTTTCTAGACTTTCTTAGTTTATGAAACTGTGAAAAGTCTTAGGATGCACAGGGGTGAACAGCACCGTCCATGGACAAGCTGGTGATTACACTTACTTTAGCAAAGCCTGCATTTATGTGATAATCAGGGTTTTAACAGGCTGTTATTCTAAATCTCATACCCAAGTGAACCGCCAACGTCCTGTAACCCTCAACCTTGGATCCTTATTTGCTAGCCAAAGCACTTACTTCCTTGCGAAATGTGTGGTACTTGCTGTTAGTCTCTATCTGCTCCTTAAGTTCAGGAGTAGCTCTACATGCAGCTAACTTTACTTTATGGACTTCCCAAGAATCTCTTAACATACTTATTTTCATGAGCCATTTTCTGTGCCATTGTTAACATCCTTGGTGTCTGTTCCTTGCTTGTCTTCGGCAATTTATTGTGCACTTTCTCCTCACTGCCCTAGATACTTCTGTGACCTTAATGAATTTTTTATCCTTAACATATTTTCCTGGCTTTTTGAAGTCTTTTGTTCTCTACTTTTCCTTCTCATTTTGCATCTTAGCTCTGATCTTTACTTCTGGCTATTCCATCTTACAAAATTGCAGAGGGTAGTGTTTTTAAAGACTTGACTACAACCATTTTCATCAGAGTCACCTGCAATGTTTGTTTAAAATGCAGTTTGTTTAAAATGTTTATTTTGCCCTCCAAAACACACACATGCACACACACACACAGTCTCACAATTAAAATCTGTAGGTTAAAACCTTGAAATCCACATTTTAACATATTTCCCCAGATGATTTATATTCTCAGTGAAGTTCAAGAGCTACTGGCAAGAGATGTATGACCTCCATGTAATATACCAGTTCATTGTAGTGAGCTTTTACAGTATGCCCCTTATGTACCAGGTATTATGAAAACAGAAAGATAAATATACTAGAAAAGTTTAAATATATTCTGTGATACAGTCCAAAAAAGGGTAAGTGCCTTTTGAGAAATTCTTAAGATGTTACGATAACAGACCAATGGTCTTGTCATAGGTAACATTTGCATTATAAGTCTCATTTGCATTTTATGGTATCTTTGTCTTTGATTTAAAAAAACGATTGCAATAGTTCTTCATCTATCAGAAACAAAGGTGAAACCAGGAAGTAGGCTGAAGAAACTCTGAATACCCAAAAACAGATCTCATTAAGCTTCATTGTTAAAACCCTCTCAGACCAATGCCTTGAGCATTATTTTACACAGAATTCTACCTGACTCCTAAGTCTCTGGCACATTAGAACACAAGGAAACGTGAACTTACACCTCTGTGGGTGTTAACAGTTGCTACATTAGAGCCTATAAGTAATATTATGATCTTTATTAAAATTTGTTATTTTCACTTTCTGGGATAGTTATTATCTTATAAAGCTTTAGAGAGATTTTCTTTAAGATGGTTAAATTTTTTAAAAAGAAAAGAAATTGTTAAGGATCTTCCAACCTGCAGATCTGGAAGATAATAAAAGATCCGTTGTAAAATGTGATCCATCTTTATTTCGAAGGAGTGGTTTTATAACACAGAAGGAGTAATCCCCAGGGGAAGGGAAATTCTTTGTACGTTTGATTTCTTTCTGCATTGTGTAGCCATTTCTGGTCTACAGTGGCTCTGTCTACAGAATAAAGATCCTTCTGGCTTTGTCAATGCTGGGAATTTCTTTCAACCTTAAGATTGATACTAATCAGGGGCACCTGGGTGGCTCATTCAGTTAAGCATCTGACTCTTGATTTCGGCTCAGGTCCTGATCTCAGGGGTCCTGATTGCAGGGTCCTGGGATCAAGCCCCGAGTGATCCCCGAGTCGAACCCTGCATCGACTGGCTTCTCGCTCAGTGGGGCATCTACTGGAGATTCCCATTGCCCTCCCCCCACCCCATAAATAAATAAATCTTCTTAAAAAAAAAAAGACTGATACTGTTCATCACTGGGTCATCCTTGCTTGGGTCTCACTTAAAGTGGCATTCATTTTTTAGTCCTCCCCTGAGCTCCCATTGTTTATTCTGAATTACTGACATGCACTAATTCTCTTCTTTGGGAATTTTCTGCAGTGAATTTAAAATAGGAGACTGGTTTTCCACTTTACATTTACCTTATCTTTTAGTCATTCTGGCTCAGGGAAAACAAAACTAATCCTTTGTTATGGTTTTCTCATTCCGATAACAGTTGTTTTTGTCCATTTTAGGAAACTAATTTTTATTGTAGCTTAAGCAAAACCTAAATAAGGAAAGGAAGTTTCCTAGGAGGAAAGTCATCATCTACATTTCAGAGTTAATAACTTTTGGATTTCTTATATTTCATTTTTCATCCTAGACTGGTGGCAGATAATCAGGTTAACCAATATACGCATTGATAAGCAAATTTCCACAGGTCCCGAAACCTAAATGAGTTCAAACTTTTTATCAAATACTATTGGAGGGAGATAATTTTTATATTATGTTTTTAAAAATAGGTAGTCCTTAAGTGGTTATGTTTTAAAAGTTCACATGTGAGCTATATATTTGAAATTTCTTTTAACATTATGAGAAATTTTAAACATACTGAAAAGGTAAAAGAATTCTACATTAAGCATCCAGATACCTAATACCTAGATTCTACGTACTTATTTTTATTGCATACTTACTATAAAGGAAAAACACTCATGTATTTCTCTTCTACTTATATTCATAACACTTCTGATACCAGATGTGTGGGATTTTTGATACATCAAGCGGTTCTCCAACACCTGCAATTTAGTTCATGTCTGACTAACCCAAATTTGTACAGATCCCACAGGTTAAGGGATCAGTCAGCCACCCCTACTTCAGATGCCAATCACAAGTAGTAGGTCCCTGGGTTACCTGCAATTTCTGTTCAACTTGGCTGCAAATTGGAGGTTCCCACAAATCCCTTCCTCGGATTTGATCTTTTCCTAAAATAGCTCACAGAATTCAGGGAAACACTTATGTTTACCGTGTAAGTTAATTATATAATAAAGGATATGACAAAGGATACAGATGAATATCCAGATGAAGATATAGAGTGAGGCATGGGAGGGTCCTGGAGCACAGGAGCTTCTATCCCTGTGGAATTGGAGTATGTTACCTTCCCAGCATGTAGATGTGTTGAACAAACTGGAAAAGTTCTCCAAACCCCAGAGTTTGGAGGTGAAACTTCCAAGTTTCTGATCATGACTTGGTTTTTCTTATGACCAGCCCCCATCCAGGAGTCCACCAAAAGTTGCCTCATTAGAACAAAAAATACTTCTGTCACCCAGGGAATAGCAAGGGATTTAGGAGCTCTGTGTCAGACACTTTTATCACTTACGAAATTGCAAAGCTCTTGGGACTTCTGTATGAGGAACTGGGGTGAGAGACCAAATATTAGAACAAAAGATTGTCCTAGCACCCCTGTTTACAAGGGTTTAGGAGCTCTGTGCCAGGAACCAGGGGGCAGAGATTAATAAATATTTATTATTTCATTCCTATCCATCTTTAAATCTATCTGTCCATCAATCCATCTTTATGTTGATGCATTTCAAAGAAAGTTAGTACATTTTACCACTGAACACCTCAGCATTAATATCTCTGAGTTCAATAGTTTTTTTCTTTTTTGAGGTAAAATTTCCATACTATAAAATGCAGATCTTAAATGTGCTGTTTGATGAATTTTGACAAATATATTCACCTGTGTAACCCAAACCTCTATCGAGATAGATTTTTTTTTAAAAGATTTTATTTATTTGGCAGAGTGATAGAGAGCACAGATAGGCAGAATGGCAAGGAGAGGGAGAAGCAGGCTTCCCACTGAGCAGGGAGCCTGACGCGGGGCTCAATCCCAGGACCCTGGGATCATGACCCAAGCCGAAGGCAGACACTTAACTGACTGAGCCACCCAGGTGCCCCTATCAAGATAGAATATTACCAACATCCCAGAAATTTCCCTCATGCCTCTTCCCAGTCGTTCCCCACCTCCACTCTCTAGAAGCCACTATTCTGATATTTCTCTGATATTTTTCACTATTTCTTATAGTTTTGCCTCTTCAGTATTTCACCATTAAGCATGATGTTAGATGTAGGTTTTGTAGCTGCTCTTTATGATATTGAGGAATCCATTCCTAATTTCCTGAGTATTTTTATCAGGAATGGATCGTGGGTCATGATAAATCATCCTTTTATATATTGCTAGATTCAATTTGCTACTCTTTTGTTAAGGATTTTTGCATGTATGATCATGAGTGATATTGGTCTGTAATTTTATTTTTGTTGTAATGCTTTTGTCTGATTTTGGTATCAGGATTTGCTAATACTTTGTTAAGGATTTTTTTGGTAACCTATGTTTGTAAGTAATATTGGTTCATAATTTTCTTGTAATGATTTTGGTTTTGGTATCAGGGTTATGTAGATCTCATAAAATGAGTTAAGAAGTATTCTCTTCTACTTTCTGGAAGAGTTTGTGTAAGATTGGGGGTTTTTTCTTAAATGTTTGACAGAACTTAGAGTGAGACTATGTGAGCCTGTAATTTTTTGTGGCAAGATTTTGATAATAAATGCAAATTTCTCCTATGTGTGAGCTATTCATATTTTGTTTCATCTTGTGTCAGTTTTGGTAAGCTGTACTTTTTCAAGGAATTTGTCCTTTTTATCTAACTTATGGAATTTATTGGCATAAAGTCATTTATAATATTCCCCTATTAGTGTTTTAATATTTGCAGATCTTTAGGGCTATTTATATTTCATTCCTGATATTGCTCATTATCCCTCTTCCATCTTTCCTTTTTCTTTTTTTTTTCCTTCCTTCCTAAAGTAGTTTAAGCTAGAGGATTATCAATTTTACTGCCTTTTTTTTTTCAAAGAACTACGTTCTGGCTTTAAATTTTTCTCTCATCTGTATTAAATGTTATTCTGCTTCTTTTGACCTCTACTTATTTTGGGTTAATTTTTTTTTCTTTATCTAACTTCTTAAGGTTGAAAATAAGGTCACAGATTTTTGTACATTTTTCCTGCCATAGTCATTTAAAGCTTTAAATTTCCCTCTAAATACTGCTTTTGCTGCATCCAACAGATTTTACTATGTTGTATTTTCATTATCATTCACTTTGAAATACTTTTAATTTCTTGTATGATTATTTGTTTGACCCCAAGATTATGTTAGAAGTTGTTAAATTTTTAAATATTTGAGGATTGTCCAGGTATCTTTCTAGTATTGATTTCTAACTTAATTCCTTTTGGTTAAAGGATATACTTTCTGCGGATTTGATCCTTTTACATTTATTGAGAATTGGTCTGTTGCCTAGTTTATGGTCTTTCTTGCTTACTATCCCTTGTGTACTTGAATGATTATTCTTCAGTTGTATCCAATGTTCTATAAATGTCACTTAGATGAAGATGGTTGGTAATATTCAGATCATGTCTGTATTTATGGATTTTTTTGTCTAGTTGATCTATCATTTTAGAGAAGGGTGTTGAAATATTAACAACTGTGATTGTGGATTTGTCGATTTCTCCCTTTAATTCTGTCCATTTTTGCTTATATTTTGAAGTTTTGTTATTAGGTACATATACAATTGTAATTTTCATGTCTTCTGATAAATTGACCTTTTAATTATTATGAAATACCTCTCTTTATCTCTGGTAATATACTCTGTCTTGAAGCTACTATATATGATATTAATATAGGCATTCTAGCCTTCTTATGTTTCTTGTTTGTTTGCTGTATCTTTTTCCATCCTTTTATTTTCAACCTATCTATGTCTTTTTATTTAAAATTTATTTCTTGGGGCGCCTGGGTGGCTCAGTCATTAAGCGTCTGCCTTCGGCTCAGGTCATGATCCCAGGGTCCCGGGATCGAGTCCCACATCGGGCTCCCTGCTCCGCGGGAGGCCTGCTTCTCCCTCTCCCACTCCCCCTGCTTGTGTTCCCTCTCTCA